CCTTCAGTATGAACACCAAGGTTAGGAAGAGACAGGTAATTGTCACGTGGCTCCAAGCCAGGAAGTATAGGCATCATCTGCTGATACAGCAGGTCGGATAGGCTGGAATACAAGCATTGCTCAAAGCCTGCACACCACCTACAGAGCCATTCTATCCCTGAGCGAGAAAGGCGGCAATTGTCACATTCTGATTGAAGACATGCACTTTCACATCCCCAACCTCTTCCAGGGGGGTGACGTTGCCGGAATTCTGCTGAATAGCCGCCTTGTGAGAGGCGCATGCGATGTGCGCCATTGCGCTGTCCAGAGCCCAGCCGCACTAAAAAGAGCAAAGGGCACACGTCCAGACCTCTACTTCGAGGTCGGTCCCAATGAAGAAGGTGCCCAGGTCGGCCTTGAAGGAAGCCACCGCAGGGTGCTGTCCGATGATTCTGGCTGGAGCACCTCAGGGGGGGGGACCAATAGGCACGGAACACAAAAACCAGAGAACCAGGCGATAAGACTACATCCACATCCAAAACAAGGCCATGAACCAGCAGGACCAGAGGTGAGCAAAGCATACATGGTCTGAGAAAGAAGCATCAGATAACGGCGAGTGTAAGGAGAACGACGAAGGTAAGAAAGAACGCAAGAGGGAAAAAGGCAACAACCTCAATTTGAAAACGGATGGCGTTACCATTAACATTCTGGAGCTGCCCAAGAGTGATGAGGAACGGATTGGTGATGCGGTTCCTTCGTGCCGCCGCGAAGTTGCTTTGGTCACGCGTACAGTGGTTGCTGGTGTACACCCCGCACGAATGTGCCGAGATGTTCACCAGAATGGGCTCCTGGACGTTGGGCACCCAGATCACGGCAGGGATGGCCTCGAAGAGGGGGTCATTGGGAGGCGCGACGGCTATTCCGAGCATCTGCAGGAGGAAAGACTCTTCATAGGGATCAAAGAGCTTATGAAAGAACAAAAGGTCCCTAGGCCACCTGGCTGCGTTCGATGAGCTGGACACCAGGAGGGAACGTAGCGTTATGGACCGCAAGTCCCACTGGCACATTGCGCAGCACAAGCACAGTTTCGCCACGTGCCTTTGCAGCAGAGAAGTCGGGAGCGGGATCATGGAAAACCTTCGGACGAGCGGTAGGTGATCGGCAGCAGGTGTTTGAACAGATTTGCGTCGTCAACCGTCAGCCACTGAATCACATGACGGCAGTACGAGCGGCGGGGAAGGTGCAGTATCTCGCCTGCAGAAGCCTCGAAGACAGGGACACGGCCACCGGCGAAGTCATGGCCACGCAGAATGATGCGGACACGGGTTAGGATCTGACTGCGGTGCGCTTCCAGAGCCTCAGGGAACAGGAGAACAACAACAGCATCCGTGTCACGGACCAAAGCCGCGACAACGACTCCCACATGATCACGGTTGCGCCGGAGGCGCAAATACCGACTGGTGATGGCGAGGGCAACCACAGTGTTAGCTTCCTCGGAAGACGCCGAAGGATCAGGCGCAGCCGTGGAGGGACCGGCCACGGGAGCCATTATTGGAGTGACAGGCGGCACCACCGAGGCCGCAGGGGGAGCCACAGGCGTTGAGCTGGATGTCACGGCAGCACAGACGCGCTTAGCGGGGGGAGGGGCATAGACAGCAGGCGTGACAGCTTCCTCGGCGAAGAAGGAATCGATCGAGAACGAGGCGTCAAGCTCCTCCTCACCCATCAGCTCGTCAGGGTTGTGTTGGGAACCCATTATGCCAGGTGGTGAGGAAGAATAGTCATGGTAGGACAATTTGTAGCACGGAAAGGCGACTCGGCAAGGAGTCCGCAAGGAAGAACGGATACCGAATCGCGGCCTAGGAGAGCCATCGAATGTTTCATAATCCCGAATTAGAGGGGTGTGGCTTTGGCAATGGCTGCGGCACACAGTAACCAGCTGCGTGTGATCTATTTCACCAGCAAGGATCCAGGCTGGTTCGGAAAAAAGGTCGAACTTTGTGTGGTTACCAGCTTCGCCAATGTCGTCAAGAAGCTTTGGCGAAGGCATGAGAATTTTGGGGGCACAGAAGTGCGAATGTCAAATGTGAACTCAACTCGAATCACACGGGTGAACGTGCAGGTGCACGTGAGGCGAGCGTGTGTTGTTTTCAGCACGTACGAAAGCCATCCGAAAATCACGAGTGCTTTGCGAAGGTCGCGGAGTTTCGTTGCGCATTACCTTGACGTGTCGCGCCCCTACGGGCGGCTCGCCGCCTTCCCTAAAAGGTCGAATCTCTGTGTTCGACCTTGGGTGTGTGATTGTGACTCGTCTGTGTTGGAGACCCAAAATCCGAACTTCGCTGCAAGGAAAGTCGAGTTTCGTTCAAATGCTACATTCGACCTAAAAACATAAACTTTCACAATTTTGTAAGACCACACGCCCCCTAAAAACAAAGTGAAACATAAATATGAGACAAAGGAATACCCATATTGATCAGATGAGTTGCTAAGAAGAATGAATGTGGAACAACGTCCTACATTTTGGAACTATGAAGGGGTGCTAAGTATCTGAGACATACGGGTGTCCTTGAAAGTACACACGTGCGGGCAGGGGTTGGGCATCATGAGTATGGCATCATGGCCTCCCCTCCCCCAATCTCTTCCTCCTCAGTCCATCGCTTTGTCCAATCTACCTCACTCCCCCAATCTTCCCATTCTGCCTGTGGCAAACGCTGGCGAACGCTCGCGAACTAACTGCTCAACAAGGACCATGGTTACCCCAAATGGTGTTGCCCCTCAAAGAAGCTGGGCTTTGTTCGTCTGTGGGCCTACTATTCAAGCCCACTCCTCAAAGAAGCTGGGCTAAATAGTGGGCCTTGTTTTGTTCGTTTGCGCTACTTCCTCGTGTCGTGAGATGTCTGCGCTGCGCCAGCCTGTGATATCCGTCGCATTGTGCTGCCAACCCGCTGTGACATCTCCCTCCCACCCACCCAGAACAGACACCAGTAAACGAGCACCATCCGCAGCCAGCTCATCGCGATACCTCGCGCCGCGTCATCGCGTCATGCTCGGCTCGTGTGCGACCACGGCCTCATCCATTGGTCGCTGGTCAGGAAATTACTGTACCAGTAGCGTCACTCGCGAGGCAGTCACGTCACACACACACACATCACACACCCACACGAAGGCATGCACTGCTTGCACTCTCTACGCTGCGCCTGAACTTTCTCCCACCAAGGCCGCCGAGCTGAGCCTTGTGACCAACACTGAAGCATTGCGCGTTGCAATAAGCTCTTTCGTGCGATAAGCTTTTCGTCATATCGTTTCCGTCGCAGCTCGTCATGGCCCCGCGGAATCTGCTTGCGGCGCTCGACCTGTTCCGTCGCTGCGCGCCGCTGCTCGTCTTGCTCCTCGCGCCCGCCACCGCCGTGCACGGTGCCGGTTTGGAGGCCACGGCCTCCCGTTCACGTGCCGCGTCGCACGTGTCGCATAGATCGCACGAATCAAACGCAGCGACGTTCGCCGAGGACCGTCGCGCGTCCGTCGCTCGTCAACTGAGTGAGGCCGCGTTAGCCGAGGCGACGAAGCTCGCACCTTCCCAATGTGAGCAACCTGTACCCTTTATAAGCTCCTTGAGCCGACGACATGCTTGGGAACCAGTTTCCCGCCTCGCGCTCCTCCATCGCGGCGCCGGTCGCCGATTATTTACTACCTCAGGTGCCACGCGGCACCCCGCTGGTCGCCGCTACGCCACCGCTGTTACTAATCTGTCCACTTCCTCTCCTTCCCCTGGGCGGCACGTCGTGGGCGGCAGTGCAAGCGCTGCTGGCGCTGGACGCGGCGTGGGGGGTGTGGCGGCTGGACGAGTCGGCCGAGTATTGCTGGCAATGGAACTTCGTCGAGTGCGACCCGCTCGGCATGGTCACCAACTTGTGAGGCATCCCCCTCCCTGCGAAACATGCACCCGGAGGGGGTATCTGCCTGCCGTGGGGGTTTCTTCACAAAAGTGGGACGGCCTCTTACTATGTACATATAGGTTCTGCGACAATTAATTTACTCAATGTAGCATAGTAGGTGCAAAGTATGAGAACCTATACTTAACATACGAGAGCCAAACAATGTTGGGATGAAGTGTCCCGAACCCACGAGCACAATTCTCCCCAATGCGGACCACGTTGCGCAGTGCAGTCAGGCTGGTCTGTTGTATCTCCGTTCTTTACGTCCCGTTTCACACCTGACGCCCTCGCCTCGCTGTTTTGCGTTGCGTTGCGTTGCGCGCTCTCAGGACGTGCGGGAAATCCATCATGGCTGGCATTATGGACCCCGCTATCTCCAACCTTACCTCGCTCCGAGAACTGTGAGTGAGCCCTAGTATAGGGCTATGGTACCACCTACCACCTCCACATTTTCTGATTGTGAAGCAAATCACAGCACAGCTCAGCACTTGTGTCGCCAACTTGCGCTTGTTGCGCCGCCGCCTTCCGCGTTTCACGTTCCGCCCTTCTCTCGTCCGACAAGTCGTGACCCTGCCTGCCTCATGCTGTGACCTCTCCCTTCTCCCCCTTCCTCCGGGAGTCCCGCGTACGATCCCTGCGTGTGCCCTCCATCCCAACGGTCTGCAGTGACGTGGCAGAGAGCAACTTGACTGGCAGCTTCGACTTCATGGCCTCTCTGCCCGCCTCCATGCAGCACCTGTGCGTGCCGTGCCGCCCTCCATCCATCCCTGCCCCTCAGAACGTACTAAACACCGTAGTATTCTTTCAAAAAGCTTAAGCGTAAAGCATAGTCATGGCGCCAGCGTGACCGCCAACGCAGAAACCACTTGTGGCGTGTTTTCTCGTACAAAGCTTCGCTCTCCACACGTGTGCGTGCACATCAGTAAGCTTACCGGCTTCAACTCCCCTCATCTCAATCATTCAGTATGTCGCTGCTGCGCAATGGCATGGCATGGAATGGCATGGCATGACATGGCATGGCATGGGATGGCATGGAATGGCATGGCATGGAATGGCATGGCATGGCATGGCATGGCATGGCAGGGACTTGAGCGGCACCAAGCTGAGTGGCGAGCTGCCTGTTTCCATCGGCAGCGCAACCAAGCTCACATACCTGTAAGCCCCCAAGCTCACATACCTGTAAGCCACCAAGCTCACATACCTGTAAGCCCCCAAGCTCACATACCTGTAAGCCCCCAAGCTCACATACCTGTAAGCCCCCAAGCTCACATACCTGTAAGCCCCCAAGCTCACATACCTGTAAGCCCCCAAGCTCACATACCTGTAAGCCCCCAAGCTCACATACCTGTAAGCCCCCAAGCTCACATACCTGTAAGCCCCCAAGCTCACATACCTGTAAGCCCCCAAGCTCACATACCTGTAAGCCCCCAAGCTCACATACCTGTAAGCCCCCAAGCTCACATACCTGTAAGCCCCCAAGCTCACATACCTGTAAGCCCCCAAGCTCACATACCTGTAAGCCCCCAAGCTCACATACCTGTAAGCCCCCAAGCTCACATACCTGTAAGCCCCCAAGCTCACATGCCTGTAAGCCCCCAAGCTCACATACCTGTAAGCCCCCAAGCTCACATACCTGTAAGCCCGGGGCTTCCCCTCTCTTGATCGCCATCCACGCTACTACAGTTGGTTGCACTCTGCTGGTCTGTGGTGGAAGGGGAGGAGGTGGGAGGTGAGGGTGTCATTGGCACCATCCATCCCAAGACACGAGCACCACCCATGCGCCATGGGCAATGCCACGAACCATAGGCGTACAAGCTGCAGCACCAGCATCCATCGTTTGTCGTCTCGTGAAAGGATGTTGCAAAGTTTCTGACCTTCAAGAGGTCCCCAATTGTCTCTCCGCCCTCCTTCTCTCCTCTCCGGATTCCCCTTCCCCACACCACGTGCAGCAATCTGGGGTTTCTGAATTTCACCCGATTGCCCGCATGGATCAGCTCCCTCTCCAGCCTCGAATACTTGTACGTGCCACATGCATGCCATTCCCTCCCATTTCAACCACCCCTTGCCAGCAACGCACGCCGAGGTACCTGTGCTGTGCTGTGCTGTGCTGTGCTGTGCTGTGCTGTGCTGTGTTATGCTGCTCTCATGACCAGCTGCACCCACGCTGCTCCTGCAGTCTTGCTGCCTGCCTGCCCTCCCTCCCTCCCCCCCCCCCCCCCACCGTTCCATGCCGTGCTGCCACCCCTCTCCACCGCATCCCACCCACCCTCACCCTTCCGTGCTGGCAGAGACGTGTCTGGCATCACGGGCCAGCGCATGCGCACCGCACCCTTCCCCACGGAGTGGATGGCCCTCACACACCTGCACAACCTGTCAGCCCTTCCTTCCTTCCTTCCTTCCTTGCTTGCTGCTGCTGCTGCTGCCCTCTCCTCTCATGCATGCCCACTCACTTCTGGGGCTTGCACAGTGGCAGCGCGGCAAAATGGCACTGCCACTGCAAGGAGGCTTCACTAGATGCGTGCTTCTGACCATGTCCTTCCCATGTGCTTTCAATCTGATGTACCTCTGATTTCTTCTCCGCTTCGTTCTCCTTCTAAATTGACCTGCAAGCCGTGCCGGTTCTGTTCTCCTACTACCATGAGTGAGTGCAGGTATGCGGATGACAATGGGTTCACGGGCTCCATTCCCAGCACCATCTCCGCCCTCTCCAACCTCACGCATCTGTACGTGCAGCAACCAACCTCCTCCTCTCTTCAACGCTCACTTCTCATGCAGGAGCTTTTTCGCCTTCTTTTTTTCTTCGAAAGACGCTTTTTGAGTCGACTGGACAGTCACCCCAAGCAAGCACCATCAGTGCCCTGCCGGCACTCTCCTGCCTTGAGACGTCTCTGAACTGGACAGTCGCCCCACCCCAAACAATATCTATACCTATGCCCTGCCTGCCTTCTCCTCTCTGAAGCATCTGTATGTGCATTCCTCGCGTGGTTCAATCTCATGTCACTCGTTACTCCTCCTCCCACATCTCTGTCCCTCACATCCCTCACATCCCTCACATCCCTCACATCCCTCACATCCCTCACATCCCTCACATCCCTCACATCCCTCTCCTGCCGCAGGTCATTGGGTTACAACTACTACATTTCGGGAAGCATACCCGACACACTGTCCACCCTCAAGTCCTTGTACTACCTGTGAGTCTCGCCGCTTTCAGTCCTGAGTTGCCGCGGTCACCCACCCTGCACCCCTCCGAACCTGCTTCTCTGCCGCATGCTCGTCTATTTGCAATGAGTTTACACAAGTTTTTGTACAGCACACTTACGTATCGCAACCGAGGTCAGGTCACAACGAGGGCAGAACACTTAGACGTGCTTGTCTTGTCTTGAGGATGAATAGCATCCCAATGAGGGCAGCCTAACCTCTACAAGCATCGTTGGTGTGCTGTCTGTAAACACCTTAGTCAACAATCCCTCCTGTACCGCACTGCACCGCACTGCACTCGAGGCTTGGGTTAACAGAAACATGATGGTCAGCTTTAGGCAGATGCTGTGAATCAATCCTCGACCGGAGCTAGGCTGGAACTTGGAAGGAAAAAACATGGCCACATCAAAACTTGAAGCGAGGAAAATATACACAGCGAGTCGAGACTCTAGGCCGATGCATGCATGCATGCACGCAATAAGTAGGAGGCTTCTCCCCCAGCCTCTCTTCCGTTCCCCCCTCCCCCCTTCCTCTCCATGCGTGACAGACGGCTTGCCACGAACAACCTGTCAGGCTCCATCCCCCCGTCCTTCACCGCTTTGTCATCTCTCGCTGTCCTGTATGGCTCCGAAGCTGCCATTGTCTGCCTTCTGATCTCTAGCCTGTCTGTCTGTTCATAATGCCACCACAATGCAACCCAACCCACCACTCCCACCGACAAATCACCCGTCTGGAGTAGCTGTCCCTCCGACAACTAATCAGGCAGCTTGCAGTTTTTGTTGTGTGTACAGCACTTTCTTTGAGCAATGCCCTCCCAACGCCCTCCCCATGCCCTCCAATGCCCCCGCATGCCTTCCCATGCCTTCCCATGCCTTCCCATGCCCTCCCATGCCCTTCCATGCCCTCCCATGCCTTCCCATGCCTTCCCGTGCCTTCCCATGCCCTCCCATGCCCTTCCATGCCCTCCCATGCCCTCCCATGCCCTCCCATGCCTTCCCATGCCTTCCCATGCCTTCCCATGCCCTCCCATGCCCTCCCATGCCCTCCAAGGCCCCCCCATGCCTTCCCATGCCTTCCCATGCCTTCCCATGCCCTCCCATGCCTTCCCATGCCTTCCCGTGCCTTCCCATGCCCTCCCATGCCCTTCCATGCCCTCCCATGCCCTCCCATGCCCTCCCATGCCTTCCCATGCCTTCCCATGCCTTCCCATGCCCTCCCATGCCCTCCCATGCCCTCCAATGCCCCCCCATGCCTTCCCATGCCTTCCCATGCCTTCCCATGCCCTCCCATGCCCTCCCATGCCCTCCCATGCCCTCCCATGCCCTCCCCTGCCCTCCCATGCCCTCCCATGCCCTCCCATGCCCTCCCATGCCCTCCCATGCCTTCCCATGCCTTCCCATGCCTTCCCATGCCCTCCCATGCCCTTCCATGCCCTCCCATGCCCTCCCATGCCCTCCCATGCCTTCCCATGCCTTCCCATGCCCTCCCATGCCCTCCAATGCCCCCCCATGCCTTCCCATGCCTTCCCATGCCCTCCCATGCCCTCCCATGCCCACCCATGCCCTCCCATGCCCTCCCATGCCCTCCCATGCCCTCCCATGCCCTCCCATGCCCTCACATGCCCTCACATGCCCTCCCACGCCCTCACATGCCCTCACATGCCCTCACATGCCCTCACATGCCCTCACATGCCCTTCCCATGCCCTTCCCACCCATGCCCTTCCCATGCCCTCCCATGCCCTTCCCATGCCCTCCCATGCCCTCCGATGCCCCCCCATGCCTTCCCATGCCTTCCCATGCCCTCCCATGCTCTCCCATGCCCTCCCATGCCCTCCCATGCCCTCCCATGCCCTCCCATGCCCTCCCATGCCCTCACATGCTCTCACATACCCTCTAATGCCCTCACATGCCCTCACATACCCTCTAATGCCCTCACATGCCCTCACATACCCTCACATGTCCTCCCACGCCTTCCCACTCCCTCTCTGATGCCCTCTGCACCCGGCCATTTCCTGGTTGATCAGCAATATCAAGGAGAACCCTCTTTCCGGAGGCTTGGAGGCACTTTCAAACATGAAGGAAATCTTCTACCTGTGAGTAATGTAAAGATGCAGCACGTCATACCATGTGCCGTCTCTGCTCATTTTATTCTATTCCCTGGATGCAATGTATGTATGGCGAACGGGCTGTATGTATATGGCGAACGGGCTATATGTATCTGATGCACAGGGAATGGAATGCAACGTCCTCTAGCCCTCCCAAGCAATCGAAATGGATTGAGCTGAGGGGATTAAGGCCCGGGTCCCCCATGTGCTTCCACTCGCTGCCAACGTTTCTAGGAGATTCGCTCATGTCGTTTAGGATGTCGCTAGGTTCCACTCATGCCATGTCAAGAAGGAGACCCCAGTCGCACACGAGTTCATGCCATGTGTAATTCCTCTCCTCTCCTCAAGTTCCTCCCTTGCCCAAAGGGGTATATCTTTTTCATGTTCATGCCATCCATTAACATGTCGTCCGTTATCATGTCATGCGTTAACATCTCATCTTCCTCAATCCACCCTTTCTTCACTCTCCCTCGCCTCCTCGCCCCACTTTCCTGTCTCACACATCTGGGATGCAGCATTATCGGTTCATGCAATTTCTCGGGGCCCTTTCCTGAATTGAAGGCGTTAACAAGCATGGATACCCTGTGAGTGGCGCCTACAGACAGAGCTGCATCTTGAACGATTCTTTCAACGTTCCTTTCCTTTCATGCTCTTCCATCCCCCCTGCTCCTGCCCTCCTTCCAAAACAAGCCCTTCCCTCCTCTCACCCTCTCTCCGCACCGCATTCTCCCCTGTTGCCTCCCCCTCGTCCGCCTCACTGCAGGGACATATCCAACAACCGCTTCACAGGAGCCTTCCCGGCAGTCGCGCTCCGTACGAGTGTTACTCTCATGTAAGACCAATCGCTCCGCACCGCCACCTGACACTGTCGACAGTGCATCATGTCAGGGCTTTTTTTTTGGGGGGGGGGGGGTGGGGGGGGAGGGGAGGAGGGGAGGTGTTGTTTTTTATATATATATATATATATATATATATATGGGGCCAACCAATCAGCAGATACAGTGCAGGAGAACCACGGGCATCTCATGCGGCCATACAAGCACAATCTGGGATTCTTAACGCTCATCTCTTCTTCCGTGGCGGCTTGTCTGTTCACCTTGACATTGCTCGGGATGCATGAGCAATGGTCGTGGCGAGTAATACTCTCCTCGAGTTTCATATTTCCTCGTTTGAGTAACGAGGCTGGACGGGTACGAATCCATGCGAGTAAAAGAAGCTATCGCTAAATGGCGGGTTTTTGTTTTACTCGCCAAAGTTTGCTCCACACGACCAGGCCCAGTGATTTTTGTTTTAGTATGGAAAATCGAGGCATGGAGCTCAGCGTGAAAAGGTCGTCCCTGAAATGAGGTGACTTTTGAGTCGACTCAAAAGTCACCCGATGCATGATGGTGGTGGTTCCTTCCGTTTCCTCTCCTCTTCGCATACTTGCTTCGTGCTAGTTTCCTGCATCCTCCAAAATACATGTGCACGTCAACCACTTTTGAGAATTCTCACAAGTGACTCCCATGTGCATGTCAACCCCACCCACAGCACGTCAACCATCGCTGCAACAATTTCCAACTCCCCACACAACCTCAACTTCCCTCTCAAATCTTCACCCCCTCCAATTTCCAACCCCTCAACCAACCAAACCTGGGTAATCCCCCACCCACGGACTCTTGCCCTTCCCCCCCCATGGACCCTTGCCCTCTTCTCCCCCCAGCAACATGTCCCGCAATGCCTTCACAGGAGCTATCCCTCCTGCCATCTCCAACCTGCTCTACCTGTCAACGTTGTCAGTGCCCTGCCCCCATGCCCAGGCCACCCTACACCCTACCCACTCCTCCCTCCCACAATTAATATATATTTTCCTTTGTTTTTCTTCTGCCCTAAGCAGCACTTCAACGCTGCACACATCTGATCCCACCTGCTCTTGAGTCGACTCAAAAGAGTTGACTTCTGAGTCGACTCAAAACGTTGACTTTTGAGTCGACTCAAAAGTCTGCCCTAAGCAGCACTGCACATCTCTGATCCCACCTGCTCTCTGCACACCCATTCACCCACCACGCCCTTGCCTGCTCCCTGTGATTCATTTTGTGGTTATCCCTTGCTCCACAGAGACTGCCTGCTCTCATTCCTGCATCGCTTTACACCACCGTGCATGCACTACTTAGTAGCAGTAGTTACCCCTTACCTGAGTAACTGAGTTTCCCCATATCGCCGCAACCAACCGCATGCCTGCTTCTCCCTCCCCGGCATGCCTGAGCAGGGATGTTCACGGCAATGCATTTACTGGCTCTCTCCCTGACATTCTCTCTTATGACAAGCTTGCTGAGCTGTAAGCTGTTTCTTTATGTTGCAGGGTGTTTCTGAGAATTCTCAAAAGCACCCTTCCACTTCCACGAAACCACGCAAGCGCCCCTCTTCGTTCCACATCGCCTGCTCCACACCCTTTCGTTCCGTTCCCCCTTCGTTCCACTCCACGACCCTTTGTTCCGCACCCCTTTGTTCCGCACCCCTTTGTTCCACACTGCTTGGTGCGCACCCTTTTGTGTCGCGGCGAGGTTACCAGAGTGCTTCAAAGAGCTTCAGATGTTTTTCAGCAGTGGGATTGCATGGCTACACAGGTCAATCAATGCCTGATGCCTGATGCCTGATGCCTGATGCCTGATGCCTGATGCCTGATGCCTGATGCCTGATGCCTGATGCCCGATGCCTGATGCCCGATGCCTGGCGAGGAATGCCCTCACCACTTGATGTTCACTGCTCACCTCCCCCGATCTTCCCTTCCTACGCCCCTTCACCCCCCTCTCCCCACCCCTTTCACTCTCTTTCTCTCTCTCGTCCCCTATCTCTCCTCCTGCTCTCTCTCTCTCTCTACCCCACTCTCCCTGCCTTTCCCCCCCATCCCGTCCATCTGCAGGGACTATGGCAGCAATCAGTTCACAGGCGCCCTTCCTACCTCCTATTCCCGCATGTCCTCTCTGCAGCTGCTGTAAGCCATGCTCAGCACTAAATGCCATCCGCTCTACACCGTGCATTGTACGCCATGCATTGTACGCCATGCATTGTACGCCATGCATTGCACGCCATGCATTCTACGCCATACACAGCCCTGTCGTGCATGCAACAATTGGATTGCCACGAAGCAGACCTGTTGCATGTCCAATGCATTGATGCTCTCGCTTCTGCCTCTCTGTGCTGATTGTGCTCATTCTGTCCCGTGGCATGGCATACATGGCAGGAATGTCAATGAGAACAAGTTGGCCGGCCCCATTCCTGCCAGCGTGGGCGGCCTTTCCCACCTGTGGTCCTTGTGAGTACTCACTCTTGCACCCATGGACCCATGCATGCACCCATGCACCCATGCATGCACCCATGCACCCATGCATGCACCCATGCACCCATGCATGCACCCATGCACCCATGCATGCACCCATGCACCCATGCATGCACCCATGCACCCATGCATGCACCCATGCACCCATGCATGCACCCATGCACCCATGCATGCACCCATGCACCCATGCATGCACCCATGCACCCATGCATGCACCCATGCACCCATTCATGCACCCATGCACCCATGCATGCACCCATGCACCCATGCATGCACCCATGCACCCATGCATGCACCCATGCACCCATGCATGCACCCATGCACCCATGCATGCACCCATGCACCCATGCATGCACCCATGCACCCATGCATGCACCCATGCACCCATGCATGCACCCATGCACCTTTGTACCCTTGCACCCTTGCGCCCACACCCATGCGCCCATGCAACCATGCACGTCTTGCATGCACTCATGCTCCCATATTACCACTGCCCCCACTCCTACCCCCCTCCTCCTCTCCACCCCCCTTCTCCCCCTCCCACCCCACCTCCAGCAACACGACGGCATCAGGTCTGACCTGCCCAGCAGACGGCAGCAAGTGTGTGGTGCAGCAGCAGAACACCTCTAGCTTCTGCCAGCTCTGCTACTCCTTCTGCTCCTCCTGCACGCCCCTCAAGCGTACGTGCCCGTGCCTTGCTGGGTATGGGTGCTGTGGCTTTTGAGAATTTTCAAAAGGATGTTGTTTGCAGGAAAGCATGGGGTGTGCAGGCAAGCATGGGGTGTGCAGGCAAGCATGGGGTGTGCAGGCAAGCATGGGGTGTGCAGGCAAGCATGGGGTGTGCAGGCAAGCATGGGGTGTGCAGGCAAGCATGGGGTGTGCAGGCAAGCATGGGGTGTGCAGGCAAGCATGGGGTGTGCTGTGTGGCAACTGGCATTGTGCATGGATGCGTGAGCACCAGTATGTGTGCATGCATCCTTTGACTGCTTACCAAGACTTGAGCCTCACCTACCCCTTCTGTACCAGCATGCAATTCATGCCCCACTTGCTATCAACGTACATGCTCCACCTTTCTGACCCGAACCCTTGCCCCACACCCCAGTGTCAGCAACCACAGCAGCCCCAGCACCTGAAGGAGCACCAGCAACCCCTGCAGCACCAGCCTCTCCTGTGCCATCTGCCCCCACCCAGTCTCCTCCTGCCCCCTCCCAGCCTCCTCCTGCCCCCTCTCCTCCCAAACCTGCATCTGGCCTTTCCGTGCCTTCTGCTGCTGCCTTCAGCCTCTCTGCTGCTGCGGCTGCTGCTCTTGCACTCCCGCTCCTTGTGTTCGCCATGTGAAGAGCAGCTGCAAAGCAAACATGTGACAGTGGGTCAGTGTATGTTCTCCAACCATGTGTGCTGGTAGCGGCTAGGGTTGGTCATATGTTTCAGTTTATATGATTTTTGCTCTTTAGAGAAGCTTCTTTGGCAATGACATTTGGTCTCTTTGCTACTGTAATTCACCACACCACTGATGAAACTGTTGTATCGCATTGCAATCAATCATTGTTGCAACCGCCCTTTCTGTCAGCCAACACTATGGTTCCACAAATGGGTGTAAGAGATTTTCCAATTTCTGTGGAGCATGGAGCAGAGGTGATGTGTCTAAGTAGACAAGTCACTGCTTTCCTATGAAGCCTGTGCCTTCCACACATCACCACCCTGGTGTGTTGACAGTGACAGAAAAAACCGGTAGAACCAAGGGTGGTTTGGAGGAACCAGTTTCGGGCACTGGACGTCGGGGTTGATCAAATGGCAACAGAACCATCAATATAGAGCACGGACGCATTACATTCATTAGAGAAACAGAAACTTCTGCCGCAAAACACTGCCATATGCACATCATTCCAAACCAATCCCTCCCTCCCTCCGTCTGCATCGCATCAAGCGGCGCTCCCCTCAGTACTCGGCAGCGAGCTTGCCATTGGCAGGGCGCATCCAGCGGCCGGAGTTGTAGACGCTCTGCCCCACCACCCACCCGTCCACGTTGCGCATTATGTGCGCCTCCTGCTGCAGCTCCTCCCTGCGCGCCGCCGCAAAGCTGGGGAAGGGGAGAGGGGGGCGGAGAGGAGAGGGAGGGGAAGGAGAAGGAACGGAGGTGGGTGGAGAGATTGGTGAGGTGTGAGGAGGTTGGTGAGGTGTGGGGGAGCTGGCCGGGGGGAAGGTTAGGTGCGTTGTGTGAGGGGCGAGGGTGGCGAGAAAATACCTGGTGAAACCTAGATACGATTGATGTGGACCGGACAGGGGTGTGCCGCATCAATGGAGCTACAGATATGTGTTGATGAGAAGAGAATGAAGTGTGCATGTACGGGGTTTGATTGGATGAGAAACGTGCAGGCAGGGAACCCTTGAGAGGGGGAGGTGAGAGGGAGAGGTGAGAGGGAGGGTAAAAGGATAGAGGAGTCGGAAAGAGGCAAAGCGGATACGGTAACTTAAAAGTTTGACAGAAGGGGACGGTCAACGGTGGGGGGAGAGGTGGGGAAGGGAGGCGGGAGGGGGGAAGGGAGGCGGAAGGGGGGAATGGAGAGGGGGAAGGGGAGGGGAGCAGCCAGCAGGGGGTGGGGAACCCGAGTCCTCACCGAGCGTCTTCCTCTGCTTGGATGAGCGGCAGTATGGCCACGCGCGCGTCAATCTTCTCCTTCTTCTCCGCCCTGCCACATGCCACGCGGCACACGGCACACGGCACACGGCACACGGCACACGGCACAAGAGCGGAGCGCAGAGGAGCACCGCACACAGCAAATATGGAGAGAAAGCAGAGGGGAACACGGAGCGCGTGAATGGGGAAACGAAGGAGAACCATCCCATTGAGGGCGAGAAGGAGATGAAGACGCAAGCGGTGACTGCACCCATTCGCTATCGCGGGTCGTACGCTTGTTCGCGGGTTGTACGCTGCACGAGCAACGGGAGTCGCGCACGCTCGCACCGCACGAAAACGAATCGCGTGCACGAATGCTTTAAGCGGAAACCATGATGCATCGATCGCATTGTCGACTCGCTTCTTCGCGATTCCGAGCACTACGCGACAGTTCCAGCCGACCACCCAGTGATCTAAACTTGTTGCTGCACGGGCCACGTTCACTATAGCTGCTCCCAGCGAGAGCAGTTGCCAACAGTCATGGATGGCATAGATGCCCGTTCGCGAGTGCCGAACGGCCGAGACATGGAAACCTAGCCTCACCTCCGCTTGATGTTTCCTTGGCCGATCTGGTAAAATCCGAACGCAATCACAGACGTCGAAACCAGCACCAGAGCCGCGCCCGACGGGCCCGTGTTCATGATGCGACGCCCGTATCGGACGGCGGGGAATCCGCCGGGCGGAGGACCATCCTGCAGGCCCTTGAGGTCTTTAATCGACTTGAGGTCCTTGCTGCCGCGCACCACGTACTCCGTCATCGCGGCGCCGCGATCACGTAGTGCGCGTCAAGTAGAACGAGGGTTGGAAGTTTGCGCGGGAGAAGCGGCGCGGGGCTGGCGGGGAGGTGATGGGGAAGGAGTGGGCGGAGTGGTGATGGTGGTGTTGGCGGAGACTAGGGGAGCGACGCAAACGTCAGGGTACTGATGGCGGTCGTTTTACGCTGATCCGCTCTCGCTGTGTACTGATTCCACATACAATTGAGCTTTCGTCGTGTAACAGTTCTTTTTCAGACTATCTGCACCCTTTGATAGGTGGTGTTTGATGTGTGGTGCTTCGTTCGTTGGTCACTTCATTTCAATGACAAGCAAAAAAAAAAATCCTTGAAGAATAATAAATTTGAAGCTTAAATTGTTCGTTTTTTACATTTTGTAGTTGGAACATGAAAGGATGTGATTTCCGTATGTAAAAACTCTACAAAATTACAATAGCCAACAATCCCCGCTGTAGAACAAAGAATGGCATACGGTATCCTAGTAAGAATACCAACTCAACTCTATCTCCACCCACCCATTCACCGCCTCCAACCGTCCATGCCCAAACCTAAGACCCTCTTCAGTTTGAAGGCATTATATCAGGAACCTTTTCAGGCCTGTTCACCCCCACGCGCTGCAGCACCTGCATGGCGCGCATCTGCGAGATGGCCTTGCCAGGGTTCAGGTGCTTGGGGCAGGTGCGCGCGCAGTTCATAATGGTGTGGCACGGCATCAGCCGGTCATTCTCTGCCAGCTGATCCAGACGCTCAGACGTGTTCTCGTCCCGGCTGCGGGGGTGAGAGAGGCAGGGGCAGGAGGAACAGGAAGGGATGAGGGCGGGAGAGAGGGAGGAATGGGGGGCTATGGGCGTGCAGGAGAGATGCTTGTGAATGATCATGAGAAGTATGGCACGGATATAGCAGTGCATGAACAGGAGCTTGAGGTGGTTGGCATGCAGATTGCCAATAAAGGAGCAGCAGCAATTCAACAGCAATATACTATACCTGTCAAACACCCATCTGCTGGCGTTGATGAGAGCAGCAGGCCCCAGGAACTTGTTCTGGTTCCACCAGTAGGAGGGGCAGCCAGCCGTGCAGCAGAAGCAGAGGATGCACTCATAGCGTCCGTCCAGCTTCTCCCGGTCCTCTATGGTCTGCCTGTTCTCCTTGCCGTCTGCAGGAGGTGTCTTCACCTTCAACCACGGCTCAATAGACCTGCACAAGAACAAAGAAAGGAGCTAAACAACAGCAGCAACAACAAAAAACAAACAAACAAACAAACAAACCAACTGCCCAGGGACCCTCGAAAATGAACCACTCCCCCATTCTGCACAGCCACCAGCCATTCCACCAGTCAGTGACGACGCGCACTTGTACTGCTGGTACTGCCACGTGAGGTCCACCACAAGATCCTTGATCACAAACATGTGCGGCAACGGCGCGATCGTGGTGGCGACAGTGGGGCGCGGGTCGATGGGGCAGAGGCATGCGAGCGTGTTCTGCCCGTCAATGTTCATGGAGCACGACCCGCAGATGCCCTCACGGCAGCTGCGCCGGAAGGCGAGCGTGGGGTCCTGCGTGTTCTTGATCGTGAACAGCGCGTCCAGGGTCTGACAGTGGCAGCGAGGGGGAGCAGAGCACGCGGTAACGAGGGGGGAGGAAAGGGGGAACGGGCGTGCCAAATGAGCAGGAGCGAGAAAGATGCTAGGGACAAGACGCGCAGGAGCGAAAAACAAACGAAGCATTACTGCAGGCACTCTCTCGGCAAGATAGAAAGAAACAACATGCGGAATGAAAGAATGGAACCGATCTGAGCAGACGGGAATGAAGAAGAGAGAAGGCGCACCATGGGACCGCACTTGGTGGTGTCCACTGTGTACTCCACCATCTTCGCCTTCCCGCCCTCGTCCGGGTTCCACCGGTAGATCTGAAACCGCTTCAGATTCGGCACCGGCTCGCCGCGCCGCGCAGTCGTGGTAGACACGGTCGACGCGGGTGACGGGGAAGATCGTTGCGAGTGAAGGGGTTTGCCCGCGGAGTCCACCTGCGGAACGTCGTCCATGCCTCTGGACTGCGCCGCTTGCTGCGGCGCGCTCTTGATGGGCGAATCCCAGGAATAAGGGAAGCTGTGGCGGTGCGGGTTGTCGCGACTAAGACCGCCGTCGCCGCCGCTGGCGGCGCTGCTGACGCCGCTGGTGATGCTGCTACTGCTGCTGCTGGCGTACGCGCGACGAACGAGCTCCTGCACGGGCTGCCAGCGAGGGTTGTTGTGGAAAAGCTGCGAGACAGAGGGCTTCAGGGTACTAGCGATCAGCTTGTGGCGCAACTGGGAAGCCATGATGTTGATCTCCAGTCACCTGGTAGTAGCGCTGGGTGTTGTCGCCTGCACGAACACCGACGTCTTACAATGACTTCCCGCGACGAACAGGAATTAATTTTACACGCGAGGGGAGAGGGAGCGTGTTGTGGAGCCCCAGGCGCAAACAGGCTTGCCATGGCGTGCTTCGCAACGTGAGGCCGCACAAATGCTACGTTCCCTCGGTGCATGTCGGGATGGAGGCGAGGCGACCCAACAGCACTGCGTTGCTACGGGAGGGAGTGACTGAGTGGGACATCATATTATGGTTGAGGGCGCGGTGCGGACATCATGCATTGATTTCTACGCCAAGCTAGTTACGAGCTCTAGGCGCTGTTCTGTTGCCGCATTGGCTTTTTGGCCGAGAACCGCACAGCACAGCACAGCGGGTGCGGAAGTGTAAGGAAATTTCCTTTTCCTTACTTAGCGCCTCCGTTTATCGCGTACACAACGGTTTCCGCCAAAGGCACCCAAACGTACCCGCTCGCGACACTCGCCTCGACCATTGCTCCCGCCACTGTACACCTCGCGACCCAACCTAACAGATCGGTTGGTAACCTGCGCTCCGGCCCTCCGCCTCGACATTTCCCAACCTCGGCGCTAGGCCCGTCGCGCACCACATTCTCGCACATGACCGTTACCACGCTAGGCTTTCGCTATATATTGTTCGCTCAATCCTTCGCTCATTGTACTTTTGCTTCGATAGTGCAATTCTCGTTCGCTCACTCAATTGCACTCGTAACACTTGGTATTCAGAGCCTACGATCTCCTCTCGGATCGCACCCGCACCTTCGCTTCCCCACTATCTCATTTTTTTGAGGGGGTAGACGTCTCTCAGCGCCCAAGCACCGCCGCTCGAGTGCTCTCTCGAAAGCACGCACGGCCACGACTGAGGCTCTCGCTGAACTTGTCCGACAACCCCGCCATGGCCGAATTTAATCTCGCGACAATGACGCAGGAGCGCCTCGATCAGCACGTGCGCCAACTCGAGGACTCGGCACTCGAAATCGCGACACTCACGGCGGAACACGACTCCGCCCGACAGCAATCAACAGCGAATGCACCTGCCCATGCACCTGTGCAATCGGATGAGCCGATTGTCATCTCGTCCGGCACACCTTCACATCACGACAGCGTGGGACAGCGCTCAGGCGCAGCCAGTGATGGCGCCGCCCAATCGATGCCTGGCATGGAGAGGAACAGGGCCGCGCCAAGTGTGAAAGCACCTCGCGAAGCTCGTCGTCACGTCGAATTTGCAGCGACGGTCGGCAACGAGGACATTGGCGCACCAATGCCGCTCAAACCGCAGCGCCCGCCCTGCTTCGATCCTAGCCAACGCGGAGGTCCGACGGTTCAATCGTGGGTCTTCACGATGAACGTCTTCTTCGACGCTAATTACGTCACGTCGGACGCAGCGAAAATACGATACGCTGTTTTGCTGCTGAGAGGCCCCGCCATGGACTGGTGGCGAGTCATCGTGACGTCGCCACGCGCCTACGAGCCGCCGTCGCAAGAGGAAGGGCCCACGGGGCCAGCCGTCACCTGGAGTTCGTTCTGCGAAACCGCCCAGTACAGCACATGGGACGCGTGGTGCACAGGGCTTCGGGCGCGCTTCGAGCCGATCGCGACTTCTATTTCGGCGCGCCAGAGACTGCGCACTTGGCGACAGCTTGGGTCGGTCCAAGATTACACGAGCGGTTTTCTCGCACTATGCGAGCAAGTCGATAACATGCACGAGGCGAAGCGGGTGGACCGCTACGTCGGAGGGCTGAAGACGGACATCTCGCACGAAATCATGCTACGCGGGCTATCTAATTTCAACGAAATCCTCGCGCTCGCCGAGAAAATCGACATTTTGCGCCGTCCGAGACCGGGGTCCTACTATGGACATCGTCCTCGGGGACCGACCGAGCACGCCACCGTACATGTCGTTACGGCAAACGCAGCTGCTGCGCCGTTCAAGGGGCGCTGCTTCGCTTGCAATAGGACGGGCCATCGTAAGAGTGAGTGCCCAGAGGAGCTAAGGCGCCGTGGAGCAGAGCAGGGGAGGGAGTCTGGAGGGCAGGGAAACGCCAATATTCAGTAGAGATCGGGCCCACTACTGACGAGACTCACTGCTCGCCCGACCCCACTGACCCTCACCGAGTCACAGTACCGATTCACGCAATCGATCGGGCTCGGCTGAATAAGGAGGGTACAGCGACGGATTGCCCAATACTGATTTACGGGAAACTACAGGGGGTAGCAGTGAAGATTTTTATAGACGGAGGAGCAAGCCACAACTTAGTTGATACTGCAACTGCACGGAAGCTACAACTGACACTTAGTCGCTGCTTACCGGAGATCGACGCACGCTTAGTTGACGGCACGCCTCTGGCCATACGGGAAAAAATGGAGAGAATAAAAGTTCGCTGCGGGGGAAACTTCGGGTTTACACAGGAAATGCTCGCGACGACACTGGATGGGCACGACATTTTACTGGGACGTGATTGGCTGCCGCGCTACAACCCGCGAATTGACTGGACGACGGGTAGCTGCACTGTGCGAAGTAGTGGTAACTGGGTTGAACTACCTCGCTGGCGGTCACCTAAGTCTTCAACGGTCCACGTCAACGCCATCACGATGAAACGGGCTGTCGCCGCTGGAGCTGACATGTACGCAGTGGATATCGCATTGATAGGAGAAGCAGAGCAGCCTAGTGATTTACAGAAACTGCAGGCAGCCGTACCACACGAACTGCAGGAATTGCTGAAACGGTACCCGGGGATTTTTCCGGATGACTTACCGGAAGGACTGCCACCTCAGCGAGCACATGACCACCACATAGAATTAGAACCAGGGGCACAGCCAACCGTACAGCGACAGTTCAGACTAACACAGCCCGAGCTCGACGAACTGAGGAAGCAGTTAGTGTGAAGAAATGAGGAATGATGAAACTAGGAAAATGTGTGATACAAATATGAAACCCTAGAAACCTGTACCCCTTAGTGTCTACCCCACTAGAGCCTACAAACACTATGTCATATATATCTGACACACCCCCATAGGCAAAGTGGGGGAGAACTAGGGGTCACAAGACCGGTCAAGCAAAGCAAGCTCAGGGTGGATCACAACGTCACCACACATTCCGAGCACGAGTTCAAAGGCCACAAGGCCAGTTCACATGCAGGATCATATATATAAAGGTAAACAAGCAAGAGCAGATATATATAGATCACAGTACAAGGAAGGTCAAGAAGTAAGCAAGTGAGGCCAAGTAGGCACAAGACCTAGCATCGTACAAAAGCGCTGATGATCACAAGGCTGAAGTGCCTTGGTAAAGATATCAGCAGTGTTGGCCTGAGTGGCCACGTAAGCAAGGCGCAGCTGACCACGCTGCTGCAGCTCACGAGCAAGGAAGTAGCGAAGAGCAATGTGCTTCGTTTTGTGCTCCAGTCTGTGCTCCTGACACAAGGCCAGCATGGCCTTGTTGTCTACGTACAGAACTGGAGGAGAACGAGGCGGCTCTCCCAGGTCGGTCAGCAGGTAGGTGAGCCAGCGTAACTCCTGTGCAGCCATGGCCCCTGCGTAGATCTCGGCCTCACAGCTGGAGCCGAGAACAGAAGACGAGCGGGTAGACCGCCATGACACAGAGCCGGAGCCAAGGCTGAAGGTGTAACCCTGTGACGACCGCTGAGTAGCCAGGTCGTCAGCCCAAGAAGCGTCTGCGTGACCAGTAAGAACAACTGAACGTCGCCCTCCAAGCACGAGCCCCATGCCCGACGTACTGCACAAGTAGCGCAACACCCTCTTAGCAGCATCCATGTGCTCCTTCCTGTGTCTGCCAGGAGCGACATAGCGTGCTAGGATGCTAAGAGGGTATGTAAGGTCAGGTCGAGTGCAGGTCATCAGGTACATGAGGCAGCCCACAAGCTCTGGGTACGGACCACTCGGCTCTACGGACTCATCCGAAGGCAGAGCTGAGAGCGAGTGGCGCGTAGGTAGAGGAGTGGGCTGTGGCGAGGAGTACGTGAAGCGGAAGCGCTGAAGGACCTGCTGCACCATGTGTGACTGAGTCAAGGTAATGGTGCGCTGTGCTCTGTCCCGGGTGATCCGCAAGCCAAGATAGCTTGTCAGCTCACCCAGGTCTGTGCACGTGTGTCTCTTCTGCAGCTCCGACTTCACGTGGGCGAGTGCCTCAGTGTCAGCAGTAGCAAAGACCAGGTCGTCTACGTATACGAGAACGTAGAATGGCGGCAGAGTGGTGTTGGTGCGTAGAAACAGCGACGGGTCAGCAGTAGAAGGAACAAACCCAAGAGCAGCAAGAGTCATCCTCAGTGTGTCGTACCACTCACGGGGTGCCTGGCGGAGACCGTAGACTGGCCGCCGGAGGCTCCACTGGGTACCAGGAGGAAACGACCCAGTGAAGCCAGGTGGGCGGCGCAGCCAGATCTCCTCGTGCAGGCTACCCTGTAGGAAAGCAGTGCTGAAGTCAAGGGAGTGAAGCTCGTAGTCACGCTGAGCGGCGACGTGCAGCAGAACCCGAAGAGTGGTCATCTTCGGGGTAGGGGAGAAGGTCTAGAAGAAGTCGACTCCCTCACGCTGACTGAAGCCTCGTGCAACGTAACGCGCCTTGAAGACAGGCGGAGAACCCGGCGGCCGCTTCACCTTGAAAATCCACATGCCACTGACGATGTTCGTCCCAGGTGGGGGAACCTCGTCGACGT